AAAAAAAAGGCGGCAGGAGGGGGCCGGGATGGAGACACCATTCAGGCGATGGGTGCAGGAGGAGAAAACCGAGAAGGAAACTTCTCGAGTCCAGGAATTCCCTCGAAACGACCTAAGACTCCCTGTGTCTTCCCAGGAAGACGGCGCAACGTGCAACGCTCTGTTCCCGCAATCCGGCCGCAGATGGCAGCGGGTCCAGCCCACCCATGCGACATGCACCGGTTAGGACAGGGGTCCAGAGGTCCCTGCAGGGGAGACAAGCTGCCCCTTCGAAGGAGCCACCATGAGAGATGTCCGACGGACACTCTGACCTTCAGCTCTTCTTCTAAACCTGCGTAGGAAGTTCCAAGCCACATTCCCGGCAAGACTCAGTCGGGTAGAGGCGAATCTTTGGACGACAATATCCTAATGGCTTCAAAGAAATAAAATAAAAAAGAGGCGCTTAGCCTGTTCCCCCACAGAAACCCCGAGAAACAGGAGAGCCGTCGGGCAGGGCGAGATGATGAGAACAACTGTATGAGAAACGTCCTTTCCGGGCTGTCGTTTCAAGACCTGTTGCGTCCGTGACATCGACGGCTTCCGACGGGGAGGGCAGGATGGGAGGGGGCAGCCCTGGGCGGAGGAAGCGGTTGATTTTGGGGGGACGGAGGAGGAGAAGAGGGGTGAGCGGGGGTGGGATTTGAGGCCACGGGAGGAGAGGAAGCGGCGGGCAAGGAAAAGCCACCGCAGACCAGATCACCGCGTCCAGACCGTGCTCCCGCCGCGACCGTCCCCAGCCTCCACCAGGAGCCGCGAGCGTCCCCAGGAAGCCTTGGGGTTGGGGGGGGTCGCTCACCCACAGGGGATGCGGGATGCAAAACCTGAACGTCTTTGCCGCCTTTGCCGTCCACGCTTGCATGACCTCCGGACAGCCCTGCGGGGTGGGGACAGAGTCTTGGATCCCGCTCCGCACACGCGGGCTCCGGGATGGGCCACCCCGTCGAGGGGAGACCCCCAAACTGCCCCAGGGCCCCCGACGGGCGAAGCCGGGTGTGCGCGGCCACGGAGGCCCCAAAGACGCCACCGGAACCCAGACCCCACTCGCTGTCTCCTGAGGACGATTCGGGGGGCGGGGGGCAGAACCTACGACACGTGGGCGCACGACAGTCTCTGGTCCCCAACCCGGGCGACGCAGGGGAAGGGAGGGAGGACGCGGAGGCCCACGAAGCCGGATTTCAACTCTGATTCTGAGTCCTCGAGGAAGTCTGCGGGCCTCGGTTTCTCCATCTGCAGAACGGCGCTAGTAAAACCCACCCGGGCCGGGCGCAGTGGTTCGTGCCTGTGACCCCGGCACTCTGGGAGGCCGAGGAGGGAGGATCGCTCGAGGTCAGGAGTTCGAGACCAGCCTGAGCAAGAGCGAGACCCCTCTCTCTACTAAAAAAATAGAAAGAAATTAGCCGGACAATTAAAAATACATAGAAAAAATTAGCCGGGCATGGTGGCGCATGGCTGTAGTCCCAGCTACTGGGGAGGCTGAGGCAGGAGGATCGCTCGAGGTCAGGAGTTTGAGACCACCCTGGGCAACATAGCAAGACCCCTTCTCTACTAAAAGTAGAAAGAAA